CAGTTAGCACAATCGAGCATCTACGGTGGCGTTTCCGTCTGGAGCTTATAGGTCTTCCAGGTCCCATCCTAACCATAGTGTAGTGACATTTAAGTCCGTTTTGCTTTACTCAGTTAGAATAAGCATTTTAAGAGAACTTGACGCAACTTTGAATTAGATAGGTAACATCCAAATATCTCCTACTCAGATAGATGCCAGCTAATTAACCCAAACGTTTTATGGGTTCGAAGACTAGAAGCAGGCTTCTGTCTCCTCTTTCGCATTAATCATATTTCAAAGCTTCCTCGGACTTCAGCACTTCCCCTAGTAGTCGTCCATACAATCTTCGCAACTCGTCCTTGACTATACCTCCTCCAGCTTCCTCCACCTCTAAGCGCTCCCTTTTTTTCGCTTCCAGATATACATTCCTCTGGAATAACCTTCCAATAAATATAAGATCTTCAGAAAATCTACACACACCTAAGATAAGGCTACGCCTTTATCTGAATACTGGCTCGATTAAACTTTTATTTTCCTCATCCTTCCCGGACAACTTTCTCTATGACACTGAGAAAGGGCCACCGGGAATTTAGGACGCCGCCATTAACTTTCCGTATCTGCTCACATTTCCTTCCTTTGTGAGTCGTATCGCTTCCTAAGATCCCTAACCAGAAATGTTAATTTTTCCAGTCTTTCAGTTCATGCATCGGGCCCTCACAGAATGCGTTCCATCGACGCTGCTAGCGGAGCCTTCGGTATTCGCCATATACCAGTGGTCTTGTCGCATCTTTCTTTCCCCGTCCTCGGATGGACTCGGCTGAATGTAACCGATCGCATCTGGGTTCCTATCGCCTCGGCACTGGTTTTCATTTCGCCACTTTGACATGAATGGCCTCATCCGGCATATGAATTCTGCCTTGATGATGCCCGTTTCGAACCTTTTACTCAAGGCCACATACAGGCCAATTCTGCCTGACCCGCCTACTTACCCCTTCATGAAATCCGTCATATAATTCCCTATACAACGACGATTTTCCCGGTTCTTGATGTTATCTCCCGCATGTCGACCTCATGCGGTCTGTCGATGCTCACGGCGGAACCCTCATTATTCGCCGTCTACTAGTAGTTTGGTCGTATATCCCTTCCCCAATCCTCGGCTGGGCACGAAAAGTACTGTGGCCGATCGCGTCTGGGTTCCTCTCGTCTGGCCTCTTTGACACGTACAGTCTCATCCGGCGTATCAATCCTGCCCTGACGATGTCAGTTCTGAATCGCGTATAAAATACCACATGCATACCAGTCCTGTTCGACTCGCATACGCAACCCTCAAGGCTGACATTTATTTCTGCCCTGACGATGTCCGATTATAATCAAGGCTGACACTTATTTCTTTCCTGACGATGTCCGATTATAATCAGTTATATACCGTCACATGCAGGCCAGTCCTGCCCGCATTTTTCTGTTATTATTTTTTAGCGAGGGGTTTATTCTCCTGTAAAATTAATCCAATCATTTTTAAATTTTTAAGTGGAGTTTTTTCGTCTCTAGCTAATCACCTTTTAGCAGACTATTAATTCAGAAACTATGAATTGCATTTTATACAGATTCGGCCTTAAATTCGCATGTTAATTTAATTTTTACTTGTTTTGATGGGACCCCGACGGGTCTTTAATGTTAATTATTATTATGTGACTGTTGCGATTCGGCATTTTCGTCAATCTCATAGCCCTGGACATGATGATGTCCCAGGAAGCATTCTGAAAGCGGATTCTAATGAAATTTTCTCGTTCCTCCTATGCAAGATATTTAATCTCGCTCTTGAAAGTAAAACGTATCCTACTAAGTGGAAGTAGTCACAAATTTTGCCCATTCGTAAGCATGGACAATCTACGTCATTCGATGGCTTCCGGCCAACAAACACCCGCCCCGCAGTTCCGAAGATCTTAGAGACATTGATCGAAGATAAGATGGTGTGTCACTTAACAAAGAATAACCTGTCGAATGTTGCTCAGGATAGATTCCCCAAAGCTCGGTCCTGTGACACCTGTCAACTCTGTTTCTTTGACTATGTTCTCCAATCTAGGGACAA